GACATGGCCGTGGGCTTTTTAAATATGGGCTTATTAGAGGCTAAAACTGGGCCGGCCTATTGTCGGCCCAATAACTATCTGGGTTGAGCCCAAATCTTATGGGCCATTTCCATTTAAGTTCTTTGTTTTTTGTGGTGCGAAGAAAGAATCCAATTTTCTGTTGATACTATAGATTGGGGATGCTCCACTTGCTTCTCCTTCAACACTGCCATTGATGAAACCCCGATTTCCTTCGCAGGATCCTGAAAATTATCGAAGAATCTGAATTCAGAAGAAAATTGGGAGAAATTTTGTTCTTCTTTTTCGTTATCCAATTCGAGACGAATGGAGCCGTTTCCGTCATCCTCACAAATTGCTCAGAAAACTTGGGAGCTTGAGAACAATATCATCACCGTCGATACTCCTCCGACCTCCTCCAAAGCTTCAGATTCTTCCTCCGATGCGATATTCTACTATGACGAGGCGGCACAGGCCAAGTTCCAGCAGGAAAAGCCGTGGGAAAATGATCCTCATTACTTTAAGCGTGTGAAGATCTCTGCCCTCGCGCTTCTTAAAATGGTGGTCCATGCACGCTCCGGCGGAACTATAGAGGTCATGGGACTTATGCAGGGGAAGACTGATGGTGACGCTATTATAGTCATGGATGCCTTTGCTTTGCCGGTCGAAGGTACTGAGACTAGGGTTAATGCTCAGGCTGATGCGTACGAGTATATGGTCGATTATTCTCAGACGAATAAACAGGTGTTTCTTATATTCTCTTTGAATTTTTCATTTCCGATCGCTCTCTTTCCTATTAGTTGAAAATATATTTCTATGTTTTAGTTCGACAAGATTCATATACAAACGTCCGTTATGGATGGAATTTAGGTTTATTTGGTACTGTTGAGGACTGCGTTGGAGGAGTATACTGTAGTCGAGTGTATTTTTTCGTTTATGTTTTTTAAATATCTCATATCATAGATCCGGTGCTCCCAGGATTTGAATTTATCGAGTTTTTTCATAAACGATAAATTTCCAACATATGTCGTAGTGGAGTGATGCTGTCGATCTGTGAAACCTATACAAGTTTCGTAAGTTAAGCATTACGATTATCTTAAAGGCTAACTTATGATTTAGGCGGGCAGGTTGGAGAACGTTGTAGGATGGTACCATTCTCATCCAGGTTATGGATGCTGGCTTTCGGGCATTGATGTTTCCACGCAAATTTTAAACCAGACATTTCAGGAGCCATTTCTGGCTGTCGTAATTGATCCAACCAGAACTGTTTCGGCTGGAAAAGTTGAGATTGGGGCTTTTAGGACCTACCCTGAAGGATATAAGCCACCGGATGAACCTGTTTCTGAGTATCAAACCATCCCATTGAATAAGATAGAAGACTTCGGTGTGCATTGTAAACAGGTTTCATCACTTGATCTTCTTAGATTTCTGTAGTTTATTTTCCATTGGGTACACACTTTTCTTAATTTCTACATGTTATTGCAGTATTATGCGCTTGATATCACTTATTTCAAATCTTCACTCGACTGCCATCTCTTGGATTTGCTTTGGAACAAGTACTGGGTTAATACTTTGTCTTCTTCTCCTCTCTTGGGCAATGGAGATTATGTTGCTGGGCAAATATCAGATTTAGGTATTCTTGTCTTCATTACTATGCATTCTGTATACTATTCCAACTTAAATCATCAGGTGTGATCTGGGTTTTATATGATTCTTTTTAGTGGTTTCTTTTGTGCTTTGCAGCTGAAAAACTTGAGCAGGTGGAGAACCAGTTAGCTCACTCCCGCTTTGGGCCATTAATAGCTCCTGCTCAGAGGAAGAAGGAGGTACTTTTTCATGTCATTCCTCTTATTCTTTATTCTTATATATTTTTGTACGAGCATACACAGCTCTCACATACATTAATTATTAAAGTTATAAAAGATGATCTGTTATTAAATAATTTGTACTGCAGATAAACTATGCATATTTTTTACCTAATCTTTTAGGCTATAAACCACATATTACAGAAACTGAGGGTGGGGAGATAAACAATTTTGATAGGCCCCCGATTGTAGGGGTGTATAGAAGTAGGAAGGGAAGGAAAAGTGAGTGTCTGAGATAAAAAGCACGTAACTGTGTAGTGGGTCCGTGGTTTTCTGGTAGTCAGATTGGGCTGGAGAGGTTGGTTATTTAGCTTGCTGTCATGCTGAGTAGGGCATCTTCTTGCTTCATTTTGGGTATTCTCTTGAGGATTGGGAGATATAGGAAGCTCTCTAACCTTCCTTTTACCTTGCTATCTGATCATAAGTAAAGCTGTTGGACAAGGCCTATCACAATTGGAATCCTTTCCATACAGATTCTTAGTGTTCATCTTGGGCTATTTCTATTGTGGTTTGTCTTTTTATTCATTTGTTGTCCTAGGTATCTAGCATAGATTAATATCAATCTATATTAGCAGCAGTTTTGGTTTGAATTGCAAACATTTAACTCATGCCCCAATTGGCATGCATAACCTATTCCTTTTTTAGTTCAACATGTAGGTATGAGGATGACATAACACCTTAACCAGTTGTACTAGGTTGAGGTTGGCCACGTAGGCACAACCTGGCCAACCAATTGATATCCTAACTGTTGCAAGAGTCAGTTATCTATTCTTTATACACACACACACACACACATTCTAGAAACCAACCTCCATGAAGAACGAAAATATAAAAAAGGAGGCCACGAATAGGAAATGAAAAAAAAAAAAAACTGGAACCAAACAAAATAAGCCACCAAGAGAGGAAATTGTTGTTTTGTTTCTTTTTAGGTCTGATTCAAAGATTTCGATTAACAAAGTTTTTCTTGGTGATGCAAGCATATCCATGTGTCTTGTTTTGGCAGTGTCAATTTCACTTTGATATGTTCTTCTTTTATGTGGTTAACAGAAACTCTCTCCTTTTATATTTAGCTCTCATAAAATATTTAAAATAAAGAGATCGTATTTCTTTAAATTTGTTACTTGATGTCTCTGCATACCTAGTTGCCTTTTATTTTACATGATTTTGCACATTGTCGATTTATTATATAAAGTGGAACCTATCGGTTTATGATCATGGATCTTAATTATTGATGGGCGTCTGTCTAGGTGCGTATCCAAGTCATGATAGAGCTTTAATTGCTTCCTAATGAATGAATTTTGTTTATCTTTAATGGCAATACACAAACACTCCCTCTAAGTGATCTACTTGCTCTACACAATATATCATTTTGAAACCCAAATGTTGTTCAAATATACAAGCATTATTATTTGTAATTTCATCCTCCAATTGCAGGAAGACTCCCAACTTGCTAAGATCACGCGTGACAGTGCAAAGATAACGGTGGAGCAGGTTCACGGTTTGATGTCACAGGTGACTTGAGCTACTTGCTGTTCTTAATCGCCACGTTCATTTTGCAGAAGAACATCTCAAAGTTGTAAATTATTTCCTAACCGCAGCTTTTGTACTTTTTCCTGCTTAGGTTATCAAGGACATCCTTTTCAACTCAGTGAGACAATCCAATAAATCTCGGCCCGAGCCATCTGGTCCGGAACCGATGGTGGAAAGCTGATGGACCCAACTTTTGCAAGTCCAGGAGCTGATGAAATCTTAACACCCTGTGCTCCATGTTTACGTATGCCAGGTATTTGGTTAGAGAAAGGTGCAGATTCTTGTGTTCTTTGGCAGGGTTTATTTGTTAGTATAATGGATACTGCGCCCCTTTGTGCAGCAATTTCCGAGTACTGAGAATGTTCGTAGGGCTGCCTTGCTTAATAGCTTTTAACGGAATGCCTTTTCATTTGTTAATCATAGACCAGGCAATTCCCGTATTGAAATATATAACCATAGTGCAAAAGTATTGGGCGCCTCCAGGTGCTTTTTTCTCGTCATTTACGTAAGAATAACATTGTGGAAAGTTTTCTTATTGACAAGTGCCACCCTCGGTTGGGGTGTACAACATCGGATTGGCGTCGAATTTTTTTTTTTAGACCAACCCGATTAGGTTTTTGACTCAAGCGCCTCTAGGTGTTTTTTCTTTGGTTTGGGTCAACCCGAGGTTTTTTTTTTCCTATGAACTCGAAACTGAACCAAATTAATTCGAGTCCAGGAAATACTAATCTAACCCAACCGAACCTCTATAATTTGAGTTGGGTTGACTCGAGTTGTTGAGTTGGATGTATCCACTCTAAAATTTGAGGTATCTATATGAAAAGTCTGGACAAATTTGATGAATAAAATAAAATACATTTATTTTATTCAAAATTAAAATAGAAAATGATTTTTTTATTCAAAATCAAATAGAAAATAGAAGTTTTATTTTTATTTCAATTTTTAATTAGGGTTAATGTTGTCTGCATTGGAAACGACAGCGTTTCAAGCGTATGGGCAGTTATAAGGGTGGTGGAAATTGCAGTTTTTAGTTTAGTGTTTTGTTCTTCCCTTTTTCTTGGTTTTGTTTTTGAACCGTTCCACCCACCGTTCACCATGGGGAGCGTGTAAGTCACGCTCCATTGTATAAATTTATTATTTTTGTGCCGCATCTGTTAAATTTAACGTTTTAGAATTATTTTATTTTCATCACCATATTTTAAAAATACCTATTTTAATTTCGAACTTACTAAAATATCGTCATTAGTTTCTACTTTATTATTAATTACTTTATATTCTTCTGAATTTTATAATTTATTGAGTTATCAAAATTTGTGTTATGTCTTAATTAATTATTTTATGATTAATGTCAATATGAATTAGTCAATAATACAATATTTGTCATCTTATTTTAATATTCCACCTGATAATTAATTAAATTAAAAAAAAAAATTGTGAGATCATATATATATTAGAAAATTGACGCGTGTACCTCAATTGAATAAGAGGTGCGTGTAGTATGCCAACTGGACCGGAGGTAATGAGAAAACGTTGGTATGTGGGGCCCACTGTGTAGCGTCAGAAGCCTACTATAAAATTGGTTACAGATTTGAATGAACTTTCTTCTCTGCCCTAGTTAACTGATATCCCCCAATCAAAACTCCGTGAACCCTCTCCACTTCTTACTCTTCGGAATCGTCCTCCTCTTCTTTTTCTTCTGTTTTCTTTCCTCTTCTCCGATGGCGATCGTGACGATTCTTCCATGAATCTCGTGGACTTCTCGTATTTCTAAATATACTTTCCTCATCGGACTTCTAATTCTTCATTTCCTAACTCGAGCTCTCGCGTATGCCATCGAGCTTGCACTTCGAGAATGGGCGGAGTTAATGCCATCACTCTTGAGGAGATTAAAAGCGAGACCGTTGATCTGGTACGTATGATAAACGCTAAAAAAAATTTCTTCTAGTTTCTTCATTGCGATCCCCTACTATTTTTGCTCTTTTTGTTTGGCTGCCGAGAAAATTTGTTAGAATCGCCGATGAATGAATTCGGATTATTCTCTCTATGCATGTTGTTGTTTAACTGGCCGGAGAAGGTTTACTAGTTGATTGTGATTTGTGTGTGTGATTACTTGCTTTCGTTGATTCGATCGATAATTGTATTCTCGTTGTAGCGGAGTTGAATTATCGATTCCGATGTTTGTTTGTAATAGCTCTCTTAACTGAATCAGTTGCTTTCTTCATACAACTGAAAATTTGGCGCTAAACATCAGGCGGAGAACGACACTTTTCACAAAGTAGGGTGCAGACTGCAATTATATTTAATTTCTCGAGTAATTTTACAGATTTTGAATATTTTGTTAACTTCTATTTAACTATCTCCTTAACTTTTGATTTTTTTTTTTTAAATTACGTATTTCTATTTATTTATTGATTTTTTGTCCTCTTATCTCATTTTACGAGTATTTTCGAAGAACTTACTCCATTTTTTAAAACATAACTTGTTTTTTTTTTTTTTAATTTTAAAAATTGGCTAATGCTTTTAGAAAAGAAACGATCTCAAATTAAAAAAAAAAAAAAAAACTAAATGATTATAAGATGAGAGCTAAATTATTATTTTAGTTGTCTAGGAAAAATATGAATAGTAAATGGAATAAATTTAAACAAATGATTGTTTTGTTTCCATGCTCTTCCTTTATTGGTATGTACATTACTTTTTAGAGCAGGAATAGACAAAATATTTTTTTTCTAAAAAACAATATTTGTTGTCTTATATATCAACAAAGTAATCTGGAAGTGTTTTACTTTTGTATATTAAAAATTAAATATGTGCCTCTATTAAGGTCTAACACTTTTCTGCAATTCCACAGAACCCTAGAATTATAATACTATCACTTAGAATGGATATTTGAATCGTATTTTCAATCTAGGTCTCAGTTGTACCACTTGAAGTCTTAATTTTGATAATATATTCAAACAAAATTACTTTAAATATAGTTTTGAAATCTTTAGTTACAAGTAGTTTAGAAATATCTTTTTTATTACGTAACCCATATCTTTCTAGATAAGGAAATTTGGCATTCCAATCCATTTTCTTTAAGCACGAATTCTGAGGGAGATTTTTACGGCGGTTTCTTTCTTCAAGTGTTCCTTGTTCTGTTAGATAAACCATGTGTCCTTAGATTTATTACCTATTTAAGCATTGCCCACCATATATGTGTGTTTGCACTTCTAGGAATAGGCCCAATTCTCGAACTCAGTCAAAGATATTTGAATCGACCAGTGGCCTATAAGTTGAAGCCTCGTAGATTTTAGTTGTTAATAGTGTTGATATCTCAATGGGGTTTTGCAATGCACCATATGATTATATGGGCTGGAAGAAAGGGAGTTTGTTGTGAACTATATATGTTCACTGCGAAATGGTTAAAACCTGTGGGAGTAGAAAGAAAACTATACTAGTACAACCTTGCTAAGCATCTCTCAGCCTCACTATTGACAGTCTAGTTATCAAGTTTTGTTCGCTTGAATTCATTAGAGTGGTTCAATGGTATTAAATGTTAAGTGGTATATGTTGTTATCTGCAGGAACGTATTCCAATAGAGGAAGTGTTTGAACAGTTGGAATGTACACGAGAAGGTCTGACATCGGAGGAAGGAGCCCACCGGCTTCAACTTTTCGTTCATGTTCTTACTTTAACTGAATGCATTGGCATGATAGAGAGATTCATTTTGATGCGGGTTAAATTCCAACTTTCTCCAAACCATAGGGATAGAATTTGAAATTAAACCTTTAGAAGTGAATTTTCTGGTTCAATCATATAAGAGTTTGATCGACCGATATAATTATACAGACTAATCCCATTTTCTGTTAAATTTGTTGAAGAGAAAATGTTCTGTTTTCTTGATGCTCTCTTTTGCATTGTGCAGAACACAAATGTGAATTCGTGAAAGGGCTGAAGGAAAGGAAGCATATGTGTGCAATGACAGGGGATGGTGTTAATGATGCACCTTTCTTTAAAGAAGGCAGATATCGGAATGGCTGTTGCTGATGCTACTGATGCAGCCAGAGTGCTTCAGATATTGTTCGTACAGAACCAGGATTTGTCAGAAATCATGGATCTTCATCATGGTATGATATTATTGTCTATTTTGAGTACAAGCTCTCGTGGCTTTGTTTTTGGGCTTCCCCAAAAGTTCTTATAACAATGTAGATATATTTCTTACTTATAAACTCAAGATCATTCCTTGAACTAGTCAAAGTGGGATTTACTCCCAACAATCCACAACACTATTTTTCAGAGAAGGAAGAATTTCACAGTTAATTCACCTCTTTTTTTCTCAAGCTCTTTTTTCGATTTAGGTTTATTTATGTTTTGACATCAAAAGTCTGCCTTGATCATTGCACAGTGATTTAATTATTTTCCATCTTTTCAATTATCCTTTGTTGATTGTAAAATAGGTAGCTTTCTATTTGTTGAGGATTGTTGGGAGGGAAGTTCCACCTTGACTAATTTAAGGAATGATCCTGAGTGAATTTATAAGAAATATATCTCTATTGGTACGAGGCATTTTGGGGATGGTTAAAGGAAAGCTGTGAGAGCTTATGCTTAGAGTAGACAAAATATTATACTATTGTGGTTCCGTATGCTCCCTGCCACTCTTTCTTCCCACAATCTTTGGATATTGACAATTTCAAACGGTAGATTTGAAAAGGATTATGGCAAGGAAGAGAGAGAAGCACAACGGGCAGAAACACAGAGTAGTCTACATGGTCTACAACCACCTGAAAACTCCAATTTCTTTCATGAGAAAAGTAGTCATATGGAGCTTTTTCAGACACCGCAGAGCGAGCCAAGCGCCGTGCTGCTGAGGTTGCATGGTCAGTATTTGCATTTTCTATCTACCCATAATTACAGGCACATTTACCTTCATTTCTATTTCTTTTATTTTACTTTTTGTTGTTATTTTTAGATTTTATGTTCGTTTTCTCTCAATTTTCTTATTAAGGTTTTTTTACAGTTCTTTAAAAAAATATTTAAATTCTTAGTCAAACTCCAAAATAAAAAACATATTTTTAACTTGAGTTGGTAAAAAGCAAATAGATAACCAGATAGAAACTTATCTAAGAACATTTTCAAGAGAAAAACTAGTTTCTACTACAAAAATCTCACTTAATTTCAGTAATAATGGCCCTAAATACCCTTGTTCTTACTACAAAAATCTCACTTAATTTCAGTAATAACGTCCCTAAATACCCTCATTCCAATTACCAAATAGGGTGACTCTCATTTGATTTATGATGTCGGGCATAAAACTGATTTCACTATTCACTCGGTGAAACTGCTAATTCATTTTCTCTCCTATAAAAGACTCAATTCAATTTGGCTATTTTATCTTCGGGAGAAATGAATTGAGAAAAGGTGAGGGAGGATGCAGTGAAGCGAGATGGAAACTTTTAGGAAGGTTAAGATGAGTAAAGTTGGATATAATGCAATAAAAATACCACATACAATAATGCAAACCTTAATGTATTCTTTGGTCTATACATTTGGATGCCATCGACAAAAAAAGAATCATTTAGTTATGAGCCTACTACTTCAATTTGTGATTTTTTCATGTCCTTACCAGATTCATGAATAATACTCACTCTAAGAGCTGGGTTGGGTTTCTACCAATAAAATCCTAATCAGTCACACAATAGCGCCACTAATCTACGATCGTACCTCTGATGTAACTTTGTACAGTTCCGCAAATCTCCAGGAGTTGCTGAAATACTATTATGATGATTGAGGTTTTGGCGAAAACATCTGTTGTATAGCTTGGGGCAAATTCAACACAATCTCCGCATATGCTGATATGGGAAAGTAATATATCAATAATATGTTACGGTAACTGGGTGGCTAATTTAAATTGAAAATAATTGTGTAATGAAGGATTTTTCAAACCTTCTGGTAAGCTCATGGTTCGTAAAGCATCCTCTGCATATGATAGACGAGCTGGAATAGGATGACTTACAGTTCCTCCTCCATTTTCCTTTTTGATGCTCAGGGTTGATGATGAATTTGCGGTATTTTTCTTCATCTGAGGCATTGGCCATGCAAGCACACTTATTTTAGTCGGCAGCACAGAGATAAGATCAGCATACCTCAGACTCACAGTCACCGTGCTGGAAACAAACACAAAAGTCTTAAGTTAAACTAGATGTTAAGGTCCAGTTAGATAACCACTTTGATTTTAAAATAATCATAGTTATTTACTCTTTTCGTAAATTTAACTATCAGAGCCGAAGTAAATGTATTGAGAATTTCAGTATACATTTTCTTTAAAACATTTATAGGAAAACGGTTTAAGGTGTATAGTCAAAAGATAAAGAGAGTTAAACTCAATCTATCAAACTGAGTTTAGTGCACTAACCAGTCAGAATCATCGAGCACAAATTCAATCATATGGAATGGAAGGCTATGATACAACTCTCTGATCTGGTTTCCATACAACTCCTTGATAAGCCGAACCTGAAAGATTTATGAACACAAATGTAAAACTTCTCCTTGTGAGTACAGAAGATGCAACCTACAATGAAACATAATTTCAAGCAAGAACAAAACTGAAAACCAGAGACCACAAGAAAACACAAGGATGGTTCAATCTCGAACTCAGTAGACATGAACTTTGAATTTTGCAAAATGATTGATAGTGGTATAAAAATCATTGGTGGCGGTGTCTTTTGCAAGTGTTTACGCAAGTGAGGAGTGTTTTTTCCTCCATTTTTTTTTTTTAATTTTATTCATCACCAAATGCTCATCAAATAATGATAATAATAGTACCAGACCAAAGAACAAATTCAAGTCGAAGAAGCCCCAAGATTTAGATTTTCTTTTTCAATTAGTGGCAAGCTGGAAAGCTTGCTTCCATTCAAGCTTTTTTTTTCATAGCTATACAATTAAGAACTCTTAAGAAAGTATGAGTTCTTATGGGTTGTGCACGACAACATAAAATTCTCTCCAATCATAACCGAAAGAAGTTGGTGTACTTTGCATAACCAACAGATCAGGTAATGCCAACATTTCTACTCGCCAAGAAAAGGTTAAAAGCATCCTAGAAAATTCTAATTTTTCTAGTAATGTTTGTTCATGTGTGATGATTTTGACCTTCTCATACTAAATGGTACACCATTAATGGGATAATAATTCTATTTTAACGCTATCTTCACATGAACATGCACAGGAGTCTGCTATGCGTAGACAACAGTATGCTAAGTTTAAAAATCTCAAGTCAATGTAGAAAGATAATTTTCTTATTTCTTACCTGTTCCCTTCTATCCACATAGGCCTGCAAAAGTTCTCCAATATAATCAATAAATTTCTGCAGGATCAAACCATCAAAGATGACGTGTCAAAATCAATTTATTTGCACTAGTCTCAAATCATCAAAGAAAATCCAGGCAACCAACTCTACCATTGCATTAGAGGAGAGAAGATCATTCTCAGATTCTCGTACTGGCAGAAAGAACGGAATGGTGTGTTCTAGGACAGTCATCTTTTCAAGAAATGACTTGCTTTCAAGCACGCAATGGTAAAGTTCACAGGGCTCACCTGCAAATTATTCAACTAGATCATTTTACTCGAAAGGCAAAAAATATTTTACTATAGTGAATAACATAATGAATGATCATACCACCAAAGTAAAAATCAATAGCATTAAGCAGTTCAATGGTCAAAATATTTACCATACATAAAATTCAAATTTCCCTACAACAAGGAAAAAAAATGTAATAGGAGTTCTGTGCAATTCAAGCCCACATACTAGCACACATGATACATATACTCGCTCACATAAAATTCAAGTTTCGTAGCTACATGAAAGCATGAAGTTAGAGGAGCACACGCAAAATATGAACCACAATATTTACTGTAGCATTAGGTTCAAGTTTCTAAACAACATACAAAAATGAAAGTGGCCCACAAAAGCTCTCATCAAGAACCATTTTTCATCTAAGCCTCCAGGGTGCCTCCCGTTGAATAGGCAAGGACCCTTTTATATGGAACACACTTGATGAAGTGCTGAAGCACAGCGCCTCAATGCTTCAGTAATTAATTAGTTTATATATAATAATATGATTCTTGTAAGGCTTTCACCCCCTCAAACTTCTAATATATGTCTCCCTCTCTCTTCCATTTTTCCTACCTCTCCATCTCTTAGTTCACTCTATCTCACATTCTCACTCTCTTTTTTTCCTCTCTCCCCTCATCTTACTCTCTATCTGACTCCCTCCATATCACTCTCTCTCTCTCTCCCCCTCTATCTACATCCCGCTAGAGAGGAGAGCAAACCAGGAGAATGGAGGGAAAAAAGCAACACTATCAGGACTATCAATTATGTGTACTGTTCTACTGTGTTTTTGAGAGGGGACTGTGTGTGTTGGTACCTCTCATGTTTAATATAAACACAAATTTGTTGGAATAAATAACCCTCTGCACTGTGGAATTCAGGACACTAAATATGAGCATTTTTTCAACACATATCAAGATTCTGAGTCAAGATTATACCCCAGAAAATTGACGTATGCAGTAGCTTTCAATTATAATTGGAGTTCTACTAATTCAACTTAAACAAGCAAAGGTCTGCAAAAATCTGTATGCGCATACTTGTGTTGATTAAGTAAAATCTTACTGATCATGGGGTCTAAAATAACCATGTCATCATATTTCAGAATTAATACAAGTATCAGACTCATACACAACATTCATTTTCTTTTTCTTTCGCTGAAAGAATCATAGCATGGATGAAAACGAATGGCTATTACAGATTTTTATTTTGTTTCACGAGTTAAATATCAAAGAAAATTACGTGAAAGAATCAAATTACCTGCGAAAGATGTCTCATATTGTATGCCAATCCTCGCTCCTTCCAAGCAGCAAATAACCTGTTCAACCAAAACCACTCATATTCAACTTTAAATGCACTGTCTGAAAATAATTTCTTCCGTACATCAATGGCATGCTATCATCTAGAACAGCTATTCGCGTTTAGTAAATAATTGTTTTTCAAAGGAAAACACTTTCATTAATAACTCAAAGGAGTAAAATATAACCGGAG